TGGTGACAGCAGTGGCAATCCACCTGTCACTCAAGTGGCCACGCCCTTAATTATGCAGAACTTTAAGGCTTAATATAATTTAAACGGATGAGTTATAAAAATATTCACCCCCCTCACAGTTGTCATGAAGGGCAAAATTAGCTATATAGACCAAAAACACTTTTTGTACCAGGCTGTAAACATATTTTTTTCTGCTGTAAAGTTGGGCATTTTAATATGGGGGGTCTACGGGACTGACTCCCTTTTGGAGCCAGCCTCTAGCGGCCAGTCGATGAATTGCAGTTTTAGTCACTTCTGTGTTGGTTTCAAAAAGAAACCAGAAGGTTGCCGCTTGGGTGGAACCCAGTTAGCGATCGGATCATCACTGCCTGCTTTGCATCGGCCCATATACAAACAACAGTCGTTCAGGTTTATGCACCAACTGAGGAAGATCACGCTGAAAAGGATGAGCTCTACAATGTGCTACTGACTCGAGATAAAGTACCGAGACATGACCTCGAAATCGTTATTGAGGACATGAACGCTCAGTTCAGCCATGACCACCAGGGTTTGGAAGAAACCATTGACCTTTGGCATCCTCAAAACGACTGTCGGGCACAGTTAATGTCGTTATGCATATATAACAACCTCAAACCTTAGTACAGTGATTACACACTGTTGCCAATGGCTGGCTGGACACATTATGCGGTTGGAAAGCATTTCAGCTAGTTACCATAACATTTCTCATTTTAATTCAGGTTAACTTTTTTAACTAGAACTAAAGCTAAAATAAAAATTAATAAAAGCTTATATGGACATAAAAAAGACAAAAACAATAATGTTACTAAAACTTTCAAATGAAAATGTGTGCTTGAGTTATTGGGTTAATGATCAGTTGTTTTGTGTGTGTAGAGTTCATAGAGGGCGTCTCTCAGTTCAGTGTGAAGGGCGATAAGGAGCAGAAACTGCGCTGTGAGTACAACACACTTCACCTCTGATCTCACATCACACAGCATTCGACTCTTGGTCATCATTCACTGTTTTCCTGGATCCAGTCGCTTTTAGGATCTATGACATGGACAAGGACGGCTACATTTCCAACGGAGAGCTGTTCCAGGTGTTGAAGATGATGGTGGGCAACAATCTGAAGGACACTCAGCTGCAGCAGATAGTGGACAAGACCATCGTCAACGCAGACAAGGACGGTGATGGGAGAATATCCTTCGAGGAGTTCTGTGCTGTAAGTCTGGCTGCCAGTCAGATGTGTGTGTATATATATATATATACACATCTGAACAGTTTTTTTTTTTTTTTAATAACTTTATTAAATCACATTAAATTATAGAGCACTATAAAAGCATTTTTTTCCCCTCATGAAAGAATATTTTTATATTTCCACAAAAATATGAAGCGGCACAACATTAATAATCATCAGAAATGTTTATTATATTAGCATATTATTATCTGAAGGATCATGTGACACTAAAGACTGGAGTAATGATGCTGAAAATTCAGCTTTGATCACAGAAATAAATTATGTTTTACAACATGTTCACAGAAAACAGCTATTTTAAATTGTAATAATATTTTACAATATTAGTTTTACTGTATTTTTAGTCAAATAAATGCAGCCTTGGTGAGCATGAGACGTCTTTCAAAAACATAAAAAATCTATTATTATTTTGACTGGAAATTAAATTATAGGTGCACTCAGTATTTTTTCCCTCATTAAAATGGTTTAAAAGCATGCCAAGTCACACGAGACGGCGACTCCAGTCATATGAATAGCCTAATAAAAGCTGTTATATTCTATGTCGAGATTTTCACAGGTTAATGTATTCATGGTTTTCTTGTTTCCGTCCGCAGGTCGTCGGAGGTCTGGATATACACAAGAAGATGGTGGTGGATGTGTGAGCGAGTCCATCTCCAGCATCTCCTTTCCTCTCTGACGACCTGCTCAAGATATCCAGCAAATGCTCTCTGTGTGTTTCAATGGAAGTATTTAAGCCACTTTTGTCAAATAGAAGCCTGCGTGTAAGTGTTACTGAACTCCAGTCTGCTCGATAACCTGGTGTAGCACTTTATGGGCTTATGGATACTGAAAGAGCATCTCGGTTCAAGAGGAAAGAGCATTGGCTTGTCCATATTTATTTCGGTTTTTAATGCTTCTTTTTTAATATTTATTTTGTTCTGTCTTTTTTTTCCAAATATTAAGTATGATATAATAAGTATACGTAGGGTATGGTGTGCCAAGCAGAACAATGTTGTTGGCAGTGTTGGCTTTCTTCTGTTACACTTTGTGATATACATTATTTCTAGCATTTAATCATGTTCAATAACTGTTTTTGTATCAATCATGATATAATGTTTATACTGTTGGAATGTGCATCTTCAGGTGTTGAGACAGTCCAGTAGTTACCAAGATAAAAATGATTTGGTTTACTTCTCGAACACAAATATATCTCCGTCTGAATGACAAACACAGATGAAACCGCACACGGCGATCACAAAATCTATTCGGACACTAAAGTCACACTTACAATCAATGTCTGAATGTCTCATCTGTGAGAAGATGCTGCAGGATCTCAGAACGTCACTCTTTTATATACCTAATGTTGCTCAGTGACTTTTAAACAAACATTTAACAACTCGAGTCTTCACTTTTGAAACCTGTATTTGTTCAGTGGTTTTGCTTGTGCCATCTATCTTTCAGTGGAAAGACCCTTGCTTTGATAGTTCATCGAGCGTGGCTGAAGTGTCCGAAGCGCTTTGTGAGCGCCGTGTGTCTGATCATCTCGAATACATGGATTATTTTCACATCCATCTTTTGTAATGGCAGCAGGAGGTCCGTGTGCTTTGATAAATGTATAAATAAATACACATGAGCGTTAAAGCATCTAAACGCTTGTAAAGATGGGTATAATCAAGTATAATCGTTTCAACAAGACTAGCTTCAAATCAAAAACTCTGAATGTTTACATGCATGACAGGAGCAGCGTCACCGATTCATCTCTGATCTCAGCATAAGACGGCAGTAATATTGACACATATGAGGCTTCTGCTGTGCTCGCTTTAACTAGTTCCTTCCTGCATGTGTAGTTTCATCTATTCCATTGGTTTACACTTGAGCTGTGAGATTTATAGCCGATATCAAAAGAAGCATGAAATGCATTACGCAAGTTGCCAAATTAGAATCAGACGGATGTATATTCTTTTCAGATTCACGCCAACATTCAGTCAAAGCAGATTCAGCTCACATCATTTGCCCTTGTGTTTTGTAAATACAGATCTAACAAGTTATTCATGCTTTAAGAAAATGATTTTTTTCCTGCAGCTTTTGGTGAATAAAATAGTGTCTCGCATATGAAGGCACATGAAGCTCGTCAGTTATGGGATGTCTATTCTGCATGCTGCATCAAATCAACTATTATGGGATATATGGACTACTTGATTCTGTAAGAAACAATAAACATGTAAAACTTGACATGATTTATTGGCTCCACACATGCGTCTGATTTCCATTAATGAAGTGTTTATTATCTGAAGCTCCACTGCTTGAGAAATCGGCCGTCCACTGGCGCTCACATCAGTCACCATATTCATACACATATACAAGCCAATATGGCACTGATAATGTAAATCATTTCTGCATCAGTCCATTAGCTGTGTTAAAACCTCTCGGCTGCGCGGCTCGCCACCGCCCGAATGTTGCCATACACCTTTGATGGAGGACTTCCTATAAAAGTTACATAAAGCAGAAATATTTCCTCTTATTATGATTCTTTTTTTCATTCAGATGCAAACATTAGGCATTATATTTTCACTAACCGAGAATTAGGTTGCAGATTGCTGTTCGTGCCATTTTGATATTCTGGAAAGATCCCAAAATATGAACCTTCCTGTATAGAAAGAAAGAAAGAAAGAAGAAGAAAAAAAAAAAAGAATCAGCTCTGCATTGTCGTAAAGTACACACACAGAGTGGTCACTATATATATATATATAACATTAACTTAGCTTAAAATAAAAAACATTAAATATAATGACACTTTCTCAAAATGTATGGCCAAATAAAAAGTGCATTAAAATATTGCAATATATTACATACCATTAAATAAAGTAAAATAAACAAATACATTGTGAATATTCACCATATCCCCAGTCTAAATTAAATAAGACATTTTACATTTCTAGTGGGAATTCATGAAATTCATCAAAAAAAGATTGAAAAGTTTTCTCCACACACGCGGTTATGTATTTTGAGACTCACGTGTCTGCGAGCACAATCCTGGTTTTTGTCACGTTCTCAATGGTGAACTTGGTTTTCCCTCCTTTCCCTGCTATCCTGCCGATGGCTCTGGATAAGTGATCTCCCTTCAGAGGTTTAACTGCAAACACACGCACAGAGAACTCAGCGGCTGGACAAAACTCACTCTTGTGAAGTGGCTCAGGTTAAAGACTCACCGTCTGTGACATCAAACGTTTCCAGAAACAGTTCATCTAATCTGATCAGAGCCAGAGCATCCTGTGGAGTGACATATGATACACACGTAATGATATTACTGCACAATCCCTGAATAATGCTACCATTTAATAATAATAATAATAATAATAATAATAGTACAATACTGAAAGAAAGGGCTGGGTGATATACCCAAAAAAAAGAATTACAAATATTTTTCAGCTTTTTGATGACTGTCAATATATCTTACCATTTATGCACATTAATTTATAAAAGTTTGGGATTTGTTTTTTTTGGGGGGGGGAATACTTTTATTCATCAGAGACACATTAAAATGATTAAAAGTGGCATTACAGACATTTATAATGTTACAAAAGATTTCTATTTAAAATAAACGCTGTTCATCTGTGAATCCTGAAAAATAAAACGTATCACGGTTTCCACTAAAATATTGGGCAGCACATCTGTTTTCAACATTGATAATAATCAGAAATGTTTCTTGAGCAGCAAATCAGCATATTAGAATGATTTCTGAAGATCATGTGACACTGAAGACTGGAGTAATGATGCTGAAAATACAGCTGCGCATCACAGAAATAAATCACAGTTTAATATATATTCACATTAGTGCTGTCAAAATTAGCGCGTTAATGCAGGCGATACATTTTTTCAGTTTAACGCATTAAAAATATTTAACGCAGGGGCGGAGCTAGTGTTGGCCACCTCACACACAACTGCTGCTTCCGTCTCTTTTTCTTGACAAGAATGGAGTTTATTTAGACGCAGAACGTCTTTATGATCACATCAAACGGGAGACTTTCAGACGCGCGCGCCAGCTTCACCTCAGCACCAGCGAGGAAAAGATCCAGGTGATGAGAGCTTCAGCAGAAACACAGTGAACTGTGATC